CCGTATTCACCACGTCAGCATTGCACCTTCACGTCTGGGCTGTGACAAGGATCTTGAATAACACGAAGGCTTCTTCAGCCTATTTATTTTCTATGCGTTCTTGTCTTTCTCTCTTAATCGCTGAAGCCAGAGACGTTGAAGAGGTGACGAAGACGTACCATTCGATACTGTAGTCTTACTGGTGGGAAAGCAAGCCAGTTCCCTTTTAATAAACCATTCTTAGGTAATTACTAATTACTAATAGTTAGTAGAGGGAACTTGGTTACTCTTGAGTTCTTCTTTCTTTAGTTGATCTGATTCATGATTCAAGTGAATCACTAAATGAATATTTTGTTGAACACACTGAGCTTAGGCTTGAGATAGTGCAAACCTGCGTTTATCTGAGGCAACTCAACTCTTTATCGAGCGCCTCTCCGCGAACTCAACAGACGAGTAGAAACGACATGGAGCTTTTTTGGAAAATTGAAAATATTCTTATCCAAACAGTACTCTAGTGCTTGAAAGAGAAAATTTTTCGATCGATGTGTGCTCCCAGTGCTGGCCTATAAATGAGAAATGTAGACCCTAATCCTCAAAACGATTCATGAACTGCAGACTACGCAGCGCAGCATGGAGAGGTGCGGATGACAAGAAAAAATAGACAGAATGAGAGGATATGGAGTCAACGGCCCATAGGAAGACCTCCAGATCGAGGTAGCAGGATGAACTGAAGAAGTTCGTTGGACCAAGATGGATAAGAATTACAGAAACTAGAAGTTTATGGCAAAGTCTTCTAGAGGCATTCATTTAGCAGTGAATCGAAAAGGCTGATGGAGCTAATCGACCGTGAACCATTAGGTGTTTTGTACTGGAAATAAATTCTACGATCAAACTTCGTTTTTGTCAAATGTCTAACCTTGTATAGCAAAGTTGTTTCAGGCAACAGTTAGACAACTGGCGAAGGACATGGTAATTATAGTATAGAGAGGGAAGCGTTGCAAGCCGTTTTCAGGATTTCCAGAATCACCACAAATATAGATAATGGGCTCTACAACAAATTAACAATTGTCGCCTCGAAACAGAAAGTATCTATATTCTGACTGCGTAATTACAACCGATGACCACAGTACGTATAATGTACCATATCTGTTTAACATGTGAGTTTTAGTTCTGTTAGTAAACGTATGATATAGAAACTTTAAATTTATGATGAGTGAAGAACATAGTTTTAAGTTGGAAATTTTACTCTACTAGGAAACAATGGGGTGTGGAGCAGACAATGATCGATAGAGTAGGGGGACACTATGAGAAGTGACAAGACAGTGACTTCGAGCAATAGCTATAGCCATGCACACCGAAATATAGAATAAATGAGGACTCCCGGGAAAAGTAACAGCCTAATGTGGGAGAAATGATGAGGAGGCAAAAGAAGCTCTTAAAACCACGGCATACAACGTGAAATAAAATAATTTACAAGGCTACGGGGGTAGAAGAAACATGTTGGCTTCTTAGACGGTAGAATTGTAAAATCGATAATCCGCCCATCTCGGTGATGGACCGAGATTACGATCCTGAGATAGTAGTGAAAGATTGTGTTTCGTGCCGGTTTTGCCTGAAGCACGGATGACATGGACCAAAGAGTGAAATTCGACATGTTACACTACAATGTTTGATCTGTTTCGCAGAAACGTGCAACAGCTGAGTGCCATGAATGGGCAAATGCCCAGACATGTGTGTGGTATCTGCTAGAATTGGTATCAATCATTCAGACATCGTTAGTCTGGCTAATCGGGCCTTGACCCTCATACCCCAGATGACGATGACAACAGTCTGCAAGAAAGGCGAGCTCCGTATTACCTTCATAAGACACTCCAGATCGACAGAATATCTGGTCGAAGGAAGCGTTGAGCACTTGACTTAACGACTACGTGTTTGATGTTGTCTTACATTATTAAGATACCAAGGAAGTGAATTACTAAAACACTAAAAACGATGCGTAAATGAGCAAGCGACCAATGATTTGGCGTGGCATCGAAGAATATGAGGCAAACTGACTCCAACAACGGTCCCCTGCTAGATGAAATATGCAGCGGGTTAGAATAGCTTGTTTGAATAACAGTTATTGGTCTTCGCTTTCCGATCCATGGTTCAAGGCAACGATTGAAGAAAAGGCCCAAAATTCCCTATTCAGCCCGTGACGCGTTTCGATAAGAGTGGAAGGTTCGAAACCTTATTACAGTATGCTTCAAACTCTTTCGATCTGTGAGACGCAATCATAATTCAACGACTGAGGTTGTGTATTAATAAATCAATTCGTTTTTTGTTCTAGCAGATAATATCTGCTTTTCAGCAGTTTTCGAAGCATTGACAGTACCTGTTGCGTACGAGGATAAGTGGACCTCCAGTTCGTATTTAGACCCGGACTAAGTGAGGTAGTACTGAGTGATGGAGCAGCACTGTTCAAGGGTGCAGAGAGTGTACTTCCATGTGTGTCTCATTTACCTTCGACTTGCAGCCTGTGACGCAGACGATGTGATGTCACACGAATGATGTGCCGAGGTCGTTAACCCTACTACGTTCGAGCGGTTACACAACTGAACAGAGTACACTATCCTATGAGACAAGCCTCGGTGGCATTACTTTATATAATATGGCGAATAATTGGTTTATGCAAAACTGTCGAGAACCACGTCTACAGTGCTGCTGCTGCTGTTGCTGCTGACTGAACTGCAAGGTCGTAGCAATCGCCAGTCGGTTTGTCAGTTTTCGTTTCCTCTTCCGGTTGGTAAACGTTTGGGCGGACCTCGAGAGGTTATGGGAATGTGTGTTGTTTCGATTGGTCGTCGCTGTCGCTTGATTAAGATCTCGTCGATCGCTGTCACGGTCGGTGTCTCCGTTGCGTCGTCATGGTCGTCGTGCAAATTGGCAGGAAGTTTGCGTCGTTGTACAAAGTATGTGTATGTGTAATCATAAATCGATCTGCCGCCCGAGTCTCTGCCGTTGTTTCGAGTCCTGACGCTGATGCCTCTCGCTCCTCCCACTCTGCGGCGGTTCTCCTCTCTTTCTCCTCTCTTCTCTGTCCTCACGCTGCCATTCATTCGACAGTGGTCAGCAAGAGTCGTGCTCGTGCGAAAGGGTTTTTGCCTCGACCGATGCTGCCACTAAATAAACGTGATCACGATCATTACTGTGTTACATTATCGCTTTAAAACGGTCAGGGTTTCGTCGAGGTGCGTGACTCGGTGTCGTGCTAACGTGCGCTGACAGCGACAGGTGGACGAAGTAGCAGTTCGCCGATTCCACGGGTTAAATGAGTAAAAATTCGGTGTTTATCGGCTGCGCAATTCGAGGTAAAACGAAGTGGGTTTGTTTGATTTGATATTAATGTATTCTTGACTTATATTTGGTTTTTTGCTGCCTTTTGGCTGCGCGGCAGATCCACCGTAATAGCGCCGAATGACTTTACGTAACACATTGTTCGTCCATGACCAAGCCAGATTTCACGGCCTATTGCATCGCTCCTTGCTTACAGTTGCCCGGGGGGGGGCATTTCAGAAGAACACATGGCCTTACGGTATTTGAGCACCTTCAGTGCAAGACACCCTTCGCACCACGCGAACCATGTTTCAACAGGTGGTACTCTTTATTTCATCATCATCGTCATCTTCCATCGCCACTGTTCCTTTCGGGTCGCGGAGGCAGACACGTCAGAGAGAGCTTCCAACGTTCCCGATCCTGTGCCAGAGGCTGAGCTTTGGCAAAAGACAAATAGAGTCTGGAGCAGAGTCCTTACATACATTTGCACCAGGTTAATCTTGGCCGTCTCCTGGGCCTTCTGCCGGTCGGATTTACAAGGAACAAAAATTTTTCTGCGACGTAAAAGGTTCTCATCCTTCTTTGCAAAGTTGCAGAGAGAGAGTTTCCATTTCTTCAAACTTGACTTCAAGGCATAAGGACCATACAGTAGCTCTGTCAGCGTCAGTTATAAGAGGGTGGTTGGCTGACACTTTCAGGCTAAATGACAAACGTGCATAGTTCTCGTTACGGCTGAACAATGCATCTCTACCGTACCTCATCTGGTCATGCGATCCGTACATTCATCGTTGCCTGCTCTGTGGCGAGGACATGAGGATTGATTAATGAATTATATTGAGCTCGAGGAGTGGCGAATGACAAAAAACGTTGTTTATTAAAGCTACAACATGTCATTGGATGTCATTCGAGGGTTCTGCATGTCTCATTGTTGGCTCGGTGTATTGCAGTTGGTCTCTACAGCAACTGAAAATTCATAGATATGTTTTTAATTATGTAAGTTTCAGCCCAGTGAAAAGCACCAAAGGCTAATTTACAAACTTATCATGGTAAGTATCATGCTTCGAGCATCGAAAAGTGCATCAGTACACCTGGTACCGGGAAGCTTGTGCACAGAAGTCGATGATCGAT